GCTGATCCCAAATCCCTGTGCTGATCCCAAATCCATCCCCCGGGCTGATCCCAAATCCCTGTGCTGATCCCAAATCCATCCCCGGGCTGATCCCAGATCCATCCTCCTCTCCAGAGGGCACAAGCCCAAACCCGACTCTCCCTGTCCTGGCACCCGGCGCCTCCCACAGCTGCTCCGAGCCAGGAAAAACTGGGAATGAGTTGGGCACCTCAGCCCTGAGGCACTGGAAGCAGCAGCCTGGGATGGGATGCCTTAATTAGTGCCATTTTCCTGCTAATTAATGAGGCAGCGGCTCTGCCTGCAGCCCTGCCCATGCCTCAGGGCTGATTCTACCTGGCTGCCAAGGCAGGCTGCCAGAATTTGGGAAATAATGGAAAAACGGATTGAAAAAGGGGATCTGAAGTAGATCCATCAGGGATAGAACATCTGGGATAATGGATTTTAAAAGGGGAACCCAGGTGGATCCATCAGGGATAGAACCTGTGGAATATCAGATTTTAAAAGGGGAACCCAGGTGGATCCATCAGGGATAGAACCTGTGGAATATCAGATTTTAAAAGGGATCTGAGGTGGATCCGTCAGGGATAGAACCTCTGGAATATCAGATTTTAAAAGGGATCTGAGGTGGATCCGTCAGGGATAGAACCTCTGGAATATCAGATTTAAGAGGAATGCAAGGTGGATCCACCTCTGGCCCTCCTTTGGACACCTTCCCGTGGATTTCTCTCTTCCTTTCAGCCCCAGAGAAGCCCCGCAGAGCCCGGCAGGAGCAGATCCCCACCAGGAGGAGCCAGGAATTCCTCACCAGCTGGAAATTCTGGAGTTCCACCAAGGTCTTCTTGTCCACCAGCACGTGGCCCTTGAGCTTGCAGTGGAACGCCTCCAGCAGCCGCCGCTGGGACCCGGCCTCGGCCAGGGCCAGCGGCAGCGGGGGCAGCGGGCTGGGCTGCGCTGGGAGGGCCAGGGAGGCCCGCTGCTCCATGGCTTCTGAGGAAAAAGGGAATTAAAGTAAATAAAATGAAAGAAAAGCTCAATTTAAGGGCCTGGCCGGTGAATGGAACCTCCTCCAGGGGTGCAGGAGCTGGCTGGAGTGAGCTGAGATGGCCAGGGAGGCCCCGTGCTCAATGGTTTCTGAGGGAAAAAGGGAATAAAATGAAATAAAAGGGAATAAAATTGAATAATATGGAATTAAATGAAATAAAATTGAATAAAATCTTCATTTAAGGGCCTGGCCATTCCTTATTCTGTGATGGAACCTCCTCCATGGACAGCAGGGGCTGGCTGGGCTGGGCTGACATGGCCAGGGAGGCTCAGTGCTCAATGCTTTCTGAGGGGAAAATAGGAATAAAATGGAATAAAATGGAATAAAATGGAATACAATGAAATAAAATGGAATAAAATCTAAATTTAAGGGCCTAGCTGGTCAATGGAACCTCCTCCAGGGGCTGCAGGAGCTGGCTGGGCTGAGCTGGAATGGCCGGGGAGGCTCGGTGCTCCATGGCTTCTGAGGGGAAAACTGGAATGAAATGAAATCAAATATTAATTTAAGGGCCTGGCCTATGAAACCCTGAATGTGTGCTTGAATTCTGCACTTGGCTCCTCAGCTGAAGCCCAGCAGCACTAGGGGAATGTTTTTGGCTGCCAGGAGAATGCCTGAGGGTGAAGATTTGTCCTGAAAGACAAAACTCCTCCAGCCTTTAACGCCTCTCACCTTTAACATCCCTGGAAAATCTTTGACTTTTTAACATCTTTTACCTTTTAAGATCTCCTTGAACTCCTGCAGAAGAACTTCCTTGGTGACTTCAGCCCCAGGAGCTCCTGGAGGTCCCTGAGGTCCAGGAGGCCCTGGAGGTCCAACCAGACCTCGCTGAGGGAACAAAGAAAGGAAAAGTTTGGGATTAAAACCCAAAAAATCATCCAGGGACATCAGCAACATCAGGGGGTTCATTCCCAGAAAATTCCTGATCATTTCTGGAGGGCACTGAAGGATCAGGAAGAGCCAAAATCTCTGAGAGTCTGTCAGAGATATTTTTCCAGTTGTTGGGATTCCCATTCCTCCAATAATTCTCTAAAATTCCATGGATAACCTGCCCAGATTGCTCAGAAGATGCAAACAATTCCTCAAATAACGAAATTACTGAAAAGAATCAAAGAGTGTCCAAGCAGCAGATGAAAAGTGCCACATGATTAATGAGCTGTCCCTCAGCTCATTAATTTGAAATAAACCACTTGTCCACACCTTGATTAATTTATCCTTTGGGATGCTTGGGCATTATCTCTTGGAAGGAGAAAAAAATTGGATTTTCTTTTTAATGCGTGGGTAAATAACCCCAAAAAAAGACTCAATTTGAGAGTGGCTGGTTCAAAATTCTGCCAAAGCAAGAAGCGTCAAACTTCTCCAAAAATGGAGAAATTGAAGCCCCAAAAATGGAAAGGATGCGAAAAAGGAAGGGAAATACGGAGAGGAAGTCGCACCAGTTTTTTGTCTCTGCCTTTGCACCTCCTCTTGGAGCCGCTGCCGTCGTCGGGGCGGTGCACGAAGGAGATCCAGGTCCTGCGCGGGTCCGCGCCGCGCGGCGCCGCGCGCTCCGGCAGCTGCGGACACGCCGGGACAAGGTCACGGACTGGCCGCCCCCGAGGGTCCAAAATCCCAGCCCGGGCCGATCCCGCTGCTCCGGAGCGTGTCCTTGAGGGATCCAGAGCTCCACAAGTCCCTCAGAGATCTTTAAATTCCATGGAGAACCCACCCAGATGTTCAAGGGATGGAAAAAATCCAGCCCAGGCAGATCCCAGAGCCCACCTTGGGAATTCTCTGCTGTTCCCAACATGAGGAACCATCAAAATTAAACATAAAAACCAAAGGGAATTAAAGAAACGAGCACGGAATCAACTCAGAAAAGGCAGGAAAATCCCAATAAATCCAGGAACAAATCCAGGAACAAACCCAGGAATGATGCCTAAATGATCCCAGAACCCACCTTGGGAGTTCTTGGCTGTTCCCAACATGAGGAACCTTGAAAATGAAATAATAAACCAAAGGAAATTGAAGAAAGGAGCATGGAATCAACTCAGAAAAGGCCGGAAATTCCCAATAAATCCAGGAATAAATCCGGGAATGATCCCAGCACCCACCTGGGGCTGCTCCTCACTGTTGCCCAGGGAGGCGCCGGGCGGCTCCGGGAGCTCCTTCCGACCCTTCCCGTCCCTCCTGGCCGTGGCCACCGAGCGGGGCCACAGCAGCGCCAGCAGCAGCCACCAAAATCCCCCCGGCATGGCGGCAGCCGCAGGGTCCGGAGCGCGGCCCAGAAACTCCAAATCAGCCAGCTCGGGGGCAAGGAGCCGGGGGGAAATGCTTCAGGACCAAAAAATTGGATTTGTGGCCCAAAAATTCCAAATCAGCCAGCTCGGGGGCAAGGAGCCGGGGGGAAATGCTTCAGGACCAAAACAATTGGATTTGTGTCCCAAAAATTCCAAATCAGCCAGCTCGGGGGCAAGGAGCCGGGGGGAAATGCTTCAGGACCAAAAAATTGGATTTGTGGCCCAAAAACTCAAAATTAGCCGGTTTGGGGTCAAGGAGCCAGCGTCAAAAAACCTGGATTTGTGTCCCAAAAATCCAAATTAGCCGGGTTGGGGTCAAGGAGCCAGGGTCAAAAAACCTGGATTTGTGTCCCAAAAAATCCAGATTAGCCTGGGAGGGGTCAAGGAGACAGGTAGAAAATGCTTCAGGACCAAAGAAATTGGATTTGTGTCCCAAAAATCAGAAGTAATCAGGTCAGATTCAAGGAGCCAGCGGGGAAATGATCCACAACCAAAAAAAACTGGATTTGTGTCCCAAAAAATCCAAATTAGCTGGGTTGGGGTCAAGGAGCCAGAGGAGAAATTATCCAGGACCAAAAAACACCTGGATTTGTATCAAAAAAATCTGAATTAACCAGGTCTGGGTCAAGGAGCCAGGGGGGAAATGCTTCAGGACCAAAAAAATTGGATTTGTGTCCCAAAAATCCGAATTAACCAGGTCAGGATCAACAAGCCAGGTATAAAAATGCTACAGGACAAAATAAAATCGGATTTGTATTGCAAAAAGTCCAAATTAACCAGGTCTGGGTCAAGGAGCCAGGGAGAAAATTATCCAGGAAGGAGGAAAAATCAGATTTGTGTCCCCAAAATCAGAAGTAATCAGGTCAGGTTCAAGGAGCCACAGGGGAAATGATCCAGGAGGAAGCAAAATCTGATTCATGTCCCAAAAAATCCAAATTAGCTGGGTCTGGGTCAAGGAGCCGGGGAGAAATGATCCAGGACCAACAAATAATTGGATTTGTGTCCCAGAAATCTGAATTAGCCAGGAAGGGGACAAGGAGCCAGGGGAGAAATGCTTCAGGACCAAAACAATCCAGATTTGTATTAAAAAAAAATCCAAATTTATTAGGTCAGGATTAAGGAGCCGGGTGCAAAATCCAAATTTCAGGAGCAATAAAAACCAGATTTGAAAATAAAATCAGAATTAAGCAGGAGAGAAGGATCCAAGCAGATTTGTGTCCAAAAATTTGAAATTTCAGGAGGATCCAACCGGATTTATGTCCAAAAAATCCAAATTTCAGACAGATCCAACTGGATTTGTGTCCAAAAAATCCAAATTTCAGAGGTATCCAAGCAGCCAGGTGCAAAATCCCTCAGGATAAAAAAAAAAAAAAAAAAAAAAAAAAAAAAAAAACAAAAAAAAAAAAAAAAAAAAAAAAAAAAAAAACAAAAAACCAAAAACCAAAAACAAAAAACCAGAAACAAAAAACCGGATTTTTGTCCAAAAAAATTCAAATTCCGAAGGTTCCAAGCAGGTCCTTGGGATGGAAAAGCCGGAGATGAATTTGTTTGGAATTTCTTTGGAATTTGTGTTGAATTTATTTGGATTTTTTTTTTTAATTTCTTTGGAATTCTGGATCCCTGAGAGGAGCTTCCCAGAAATCCCAGAGGAGATCTCTGCTCTGCCCTAAACCCAGCCTAAAACTGGTTTTAATGGCATTCAGCGCCCCCAAAATCGAGTTTAAAACTGGTTTTACTCCGCCCCTCCTGAGCCCAGATGGGATTTGAAGCTTGCTCCGGCTCCAAAGCTCCCGGCGCCCCGGTCGGGCTCAAGGCCGGGTCTAAGGAGAGCTCAGGCGGGGCTCAGCCAGGCGCGGCTCAGCGCCCGCAACCCGCCCCGTCCGTTCCCGGCAGGAGCCCTCGAACTTCCCGCGGATTCCCGGGATTAATCCCGGAAATCGCCGGCATTGGAAGGACAAAGCCCAGCCCTCACCCCCCAAAAATCCCTCACCACCAAAAAATGCCTCACCCCCCAAAAAATCCCTTATACCCCAAAAGAATTCCTTACACCCCGAAAGAATTTCTTACGCCCCAAAAGAATTTCTTACGCCCCAAAAAACAGATCCCTCACATCTCAAAAGAATTCCTTACACCCCAAAAAAATTCCTTACACCCTAAAAAAATGCCTCACACCCCCCAAAAAAACCCTCACATTCCAAAAAATGTCTCACGCCCCAAGAAACAAACCCCAGAAAACAACTGTCACACCCCAAAATACAACCTCCCGAGAAGCAAACTCTTCACACCCCAAAAAACAAATCCCAAAAAACAACCCCCCCAAAAAACAAATCCCAAACCCCAAACCTCTCACACCCCAAAATACAAACCCCAAAACCCAGGTCTCTCACACCCCAAACCCCAAATTCCTCACACTGCAAAAAACAAACCCCAAACACAAATCCCAAAAAACAAACCCCAAGATGTGGAGACGCAGCACCAAGAAACAATCTCAAACCCCAAACGACTCACATCCTAAAAAACAACCCCCCCCCAAAAAACATCCCCAAACCCAAACCTCTCACACCCCAAAAAACAAACCCCAAATTCCTCACGCTGGGAAAAAACAAACCCCAAAAAAGAAACCCAAAAACCAGATCAGTCACACCCCAAAAACCAAATTCCTCACACCCCAAGAAACAAATCCCAAAACACGAATCGCAAAAACAAATCCTTCACAAACCAAAACCAATCCCAAACCCCAAACCCCAAAAACCAAACCCCAAAAACCAGATCAGCCACACTCCAAACCCCCAAATTCCTCGCACTGCAAAAAACAAACCCCAAAGAACAAACCCCAAAGAACAAACCCCAAACCCCAGACCCCAAAAAACAAACCCCAAAAAACAAACCCCAAAACCAAACCCCAAAACCAAACCCCAAACCCCAGACCCCAAAAAACAAACCCCAAAAACAAACCCCAAAAAACAAACCCCAAAACCAAACCCCAAACCC